AGATCAAGGTGTGGGTCCTCTGCACTCAGTAGAGTCAAGTCGAGCGAGCTGCAACTCCCGGTGCCGAAAGGCGGGCTAACGCCCCTACATGGCTGCTTCCCCTTGTCTAACCCCCAAGACGAAATGATAGTAGCCGACTGGCCGAAATTAAAAAAAAATGCAGTAAAACCATAAGGGCATAAGGAGGGGAGCAAGAGGGGAACTGAATACTACATGAATGTAGTGAGGAACGAGGACAATGGGTAGATGGTCGTGAGAGAAGCAGAGTGAAAGATAACGTCACACTAAGTTGTGGTAAGGGGGGGGGGCGGGGGGGGGGAGGGTGCTATAGGCCTTGACAGATTATGCTAATATTTTCGTGAAATTATGCTTTTCGCATTGCTGAAAAAATTGCAGAATTATGCTATTATTATGCGAAAAGTTATCATATTATGCGGCATTATGCTCACATATGCTGCTAATGTATATGATGGTTCTGTGCAAAATAATAGGTGAATTTTTTTGTAGAGGGCGTTGTACTGTAGTAGCAAAAGTTCAACGGGGTCAACGCACCGTCCGACCTAGCTATGACCGTCACCCTGGTCACTGATTGTAGTGGACTGGACATGCTATCAAGGGAGTCGTAAACCTACGCCTTCCTGGTGTGTCTACTTGTACTTGTACTTGTAGAACATGTACAACTGTATGGAATTTGATGCGAACAGGCGGATTAGTCCAATTTTATGCGATTCGTATGCAATTTGCCTCGAATAATGCGATTATTCGATTTTGGTAGGAATTATGCGAAAATTTATGCTAGCAGAATCTGTCAAGGCCTAGGGTGCTAGTGAGGCGCAGGTCTAAACCGTTTCACAGGGCGTCGGTGGCTGCTTGCCAGTTCAGGTGCAGCAGATTCTTGTTGCATTTTTCCTTGAAGGATTGGAGCTGTCTGGGTTGCGCACGTGCTGGTAGAATGGTCACTGGTAGGCTGTTCCACAAGGGAATAATGCAGTCTGGGTAGGAATCCTGGAGGCTGGTACGAATGCGCACGGGCAGCGTCGACTTGAGCTGGAGCTGGTGGCAGTGTGCAGTCTCCATAAGGGGTGTGCGGATAATGCTCGAAAAGGTGGCAGATTCTGCTCAAAAAGCAGTGAAATTGGCTGAACCATACAAACCTTATGGCGGGCAATTCCTCGAATTCTGCTCCATTTCTTTATCCACATACTAAACATGCATGAAACTTACCAGAAAAAGTACCGATTTTCTGCCAATTTTTCTGCCAGCATTATCCGCATATGCCTAGTCTCCGTGGCTAACCATGTACATGTATTTGGGTGCTTTCCTGTCACTCGGGTATTAGTTGAACTCGAGTTGAACCTTGTCCTTAGTGTGAAACTAACTACATGTACATGTAGTTGTCTCATGCTCCATATTGGCACAGTTACCAGGTGACTTGTGTACGCAGGAGCACTTGACTGCTTGTTCAACCATGTTCGATTGGGAATAAGGCCCGAACGCTGCATCGTAGCCTTTTCCGACCAAATCTAGTCGACTCAGCATCCAAAAGACAACTGGTACGACATATGGGCCATCTGTGCTAGGAACGAAATTGCGCGTTTAGTGACATTTTTCATACAAATCCCCATCTAAAAGTACAATCATGTAGTAGGACGCACTCCCCCAGTTTCGGTGGAAGTGCGCGAGATTGGGAATAAGGGAGGAAGGGAGCGTCTCAGCTTCCTCGGACAGACTCCCTGCCACTGACTGACTGTCAGTGTCTGTGGCAATGACATGCGATAGTCTTAGTCTTAGTCAGCATGACATTGTAATGACTATGTCTACACTGGCCGTGGCAGGTTGCAGGTCCAAATCGCCAGATCACTCTGACTGACATCTGATTCTGATTTCTCATTTTCTGTTGACCATGGCATGGGCCGTCTCGTGGCCTCAGCCTCTGTCTACCTGGTCTGCTGTGTAGACCATGACCTCTGCCAGTGCCACCGCGTCTAGGCGTAGCTAGCCCTACAGAACAGGCTACACGGCTACACGAACGGTTGCCCAGACTAGAGGTGTCCGGCCGGCCTGCACTATGCCGGAATCATTTCCTCTACGTAAAAAAATTGTCCCTCCAGGCAGTGACTAGTCATGTAGATCCACATGTACATGCTCCGAGTTCTAGTCATTATCTTCGTCGTTCGATGAGACAATGTCCTCGGTAGTGCAGTGTGGCGGTTGTGGGTCGTCCACGACCACTCTAAAATTTGTTTCGTGTTTGCACGCATTGTGTGTGCCGTGCCTGCAGAACAGCTTGGGATTTGATGGCTGCATAAAGTGTCCGCAATGTTTGGTCAGCACGCAGGTGAATTTTAGCTTGGATCCATTACGATCTCTTCCAAATGTGGTCCAAGAAAAAGATGTGAATGGAGCGACTGGACAACTGCAGCGGAGTCCTGTTTCACCAACGTGCGATGAGTGCTGGGATGACACAGCGGCTACAGTAGTTTGCGAGATTTGTGACGTGAAGTTTTGTGAGCATCATGGCACAGGTCACCTGAGATCAAAATCAGGCAGAGGCCACACTATCAACCCACTGTCTGCAGCATCCACCACAGAGACTGGGTCAACAAGCAGTGGCAGCAGCAGTGGCAGAGTGGTCCAGCATAGATGTGCTCTACACACGAATGAAGTGCTGAAACAGTTTTGCTTGGATTGCAATCAGCTATTGTGTTCACAGTGCATACATACTGGAGCACACAGACATGATGAACACAAGGTGATGGATATTGCCAGTGCTGCACAGAACACTCGTGACACACTTTCCACTAAGCTGGGCAGTTGTACATCAGAATGTGATGGCGTTGTCAGCAGTGCCATAGAGACCGTGGAGAAGAACATTCGAATGGTACACAGTCAAACAGAGTATGCTTCAGAGAAGGTATCTAACTTCTTCAAGCCACTGAAGGAGGCTGTGAAGAAGCGAGAGGACTCTCTTCTATCCGAGCTCGATCAGTTGAGGTTAAAGAAAATGGAACCTCTGGAGAAGCAACTACATCAACTTCAGGAGTGTGTGTCGAAAGGAGAGAGTGCTGCCAGCATTCTGCAGTCGTTTCACGATGACATTGAGCTTCTCCGTGTATGGTCCTGGGTGGATGCGTCTATCGTGAAAACCATGAAAACTGCGGAGGACGAGAAAGAGCCATGCATCACCAGTGGCATTGTGTTTGGCACAACGGACACCACATCACTACTCAATGACATCAGCAAGACTGGAGCAGTGCTGGATATTGCTGATGGCACATTGAAGAGTCCCGACAATGCCCTTCTTAACGATCATTTGAACATCTCTATAGAGCTACCAGACAGTGCTGTCCCAAGTATCGTGGAGCAAGAGCAACTGGAAAACATTGGACTGGAGATATCAATATCCGGTCTTGATGAGGACACAACCACCATGTGTACACAGCTTACACCTGCTACCGGAAAAATACAGGCCCGACATACTCTATTGCAAACTGGCCACTACAACATCTTAGCCAAGATTGGCTGTGTCCATCTGAATGGTAGTCCACAGAAGCTGGTGGTGTCGGCGACTCCGAGGTTTGATGGAAATCGCTGTGGCAGCCGGGTGGTTATCACCAATAATGGTCGCTCGCTGAGTAATACCAGTGGTGGTTGGTCATCAGCATGTACCGCACCTATGGCAACTGATACTGGTAGCAGTACACTGAAGGTGACGATTGACGAGGCTAGACTTGGTGACATCTTCCTCTCTGCCTGTTCATCCAGTAATCCTTACCTGGAACAATTCCAACAGGACGAGGCACAGTGTTTGGTTGGTATGGCTATAGTCCTAGTAACTGCCACACCGGAACAGCCCTTGGTCAATGCTGGCAACCTGGTGACGTCATTCATCTCACAGTTCATCATGATCGTCACACTCTCACTGGTAGACACGAGAGAATGGGCATCACAGAAACCATCCGGAACGTCACAGGTAACCTGTACTGGATTGTGGCACTCCACGATGCGGGGGACAAAATCACTCTGATTTGACATGTTTGTTTAGTAAATGTTTCGCTTTCCTTAAGGACAATTCTAGATAGTTGAGTTACTCAAGTAGTTGACTAGATCTTATCATTGATACGCCTAGCATTGTACCAGTATCTGTATAGTCATCAACACTAATGTCAGCAGCCATCAGTGTCAGTACCAGGATCAGCATCAGCACTGTCAGCTTCACGCAATGCATAATACCGTTCCAAGTTCAGTTACATGGGCATGTACATGTACATACCGGGGGCGTCGGAACCGGTGAGGCCAAAGCCGCACCAATAATTTTCGATTTTTTTACATTTCAACCTTGTTGATGGCTTGTCGACTCTTGTACAGATACCATGTTTTACATCGACAATGCGGCGTGTCATCAGCATGCATATTCTTATTTCTCGTTATTATTCTGTAGCATTAAAATATGGCCTTTTAGGCCCAATTTTCGAAAAAAATTCGCGATGAAGTGCCCCCGCACCCCCTCTCAGTTTTCTTGGTTTACTACGAAAGAAAAAAATACGGTGATATCCCTACAGTATTATTATATATATTCTAGGTGGCCTTATAGCGCAGGTGAGCCGTGAGGGCATGCCGTGCGGTGAGTTCTGCACCGCAGACACACATTATAATCATGTATGTATGCGGTCGGATTTCAGTTGCCAGCAGCACTGTAGTATCCGGGAAGGCCCACCAAACGGCGGCCGTATCGAATGCAGAGTGCATCTAATCCCTGAAACCTGAAATCAGACTTCTATTTCTAGAGTGTAGAGAACTGAGATCTGCTACACATGATGTAGTCCGTACTACGTACTACCCGTATAGTAACCTTATTTTTGGCAAAACTATCGTAATAATAATTATTATAAAAAAAATATTGTGTGAATGAATGACGATGCATGCTTGACGGGTCGGCGTTATACGTATACCAGGTATACCGGTATGCAAGCTGCAAAGCCACTTCGTTCCACCGTTATCATTGTTTTCCAAAGGCACAGACCTCCTCGTATAGTAGTTGAGAGCGAGCCCTGCAAGAGGATCCAAGGGCAAGGAGGAGTACAGTAATAGGGCAAGAATCTTTGGAACAGTGTCGCGAAGCCCGGCTTGGCTTCGACGCTTCGCCCTTGGCTTCGACGCTTCGTCCCTTGCCCGCTAGAAATAAGAATGGGCCTGACGGGCCCCCAAATCGATGTACGAGTCGGTATACTAGTTCTATCCTACGCTTTGGTCATCTCCATGGTCAGTGTGTCAGGAAGCGGAGCAGAACTAAATGTTCCTAAACACGATACGAGCGAATGGATTGGTGCCTCGTACACTCCTTCATCGGCTAGCAACTCATTGTGGTGGTGGAACTATTCTCATTACGAAGACGAGGTGAAGAGAGAGCTGAGTTGGGCGCGTCAGCAGTTTGGCTTCACTGCACTACGTATGTTCCTGCACAGTATGGTGTATGAAGGGGATAACGGCACAACTCTGATCGAGGCCATCAGCAGGTGAGTGTCGCTGTGAAAAATGTGAACGAGTGCTGAATAGCGTCTATGGGGAAACTTTTGATTTTATTGACATGTAGAGTGAGTAAGCACCTGGTCCGAACCGTCCGGATGGACCTGTTGTTTTTTTTGGAAAAAGTTGACCCGCCCAAGTGGTGATAAACTAACAGTTACTTGCACGCACGTTATTTGCATGAGAACAGCGACGGTATCCTGGTGCCTAGCAACAACAGCGACGGTTTCCTGGTGCCTAGCAACAACAGCGACGGTATCCTGGTGCCTAGCAACAAGAGGACATGACACCCAGAGTGTGCAGCTCTGATGAGTTACTGTCACGGTGAAATTCTGAGATTACATCATTTTAGTGGTGTAGTGCGTACAAGCAGGTCTCTTTCTGCACAACTGCGCCTCAGATGTACCGGGTATGCACTACGCCACTTCCCACCTCAGATGTACCGGGTATGCACTACGCCACTTCCCACCTCAGATGTACCGGGTATGCACTACGCCACTTCCCACCTCAGATGTACCGGGTATGCACTACGCCACTTCCCACCTCAGATGTACCGGGTATGCACTACGCCACTTCCCACCTCAGATGTACCGGGTATGCACTACGCCACTTCCCACCTCAGATGTACCGGGTATGCACTACGCCACTTCCCACCTCAGATGTACCGGGTATGCACTACGCCACTTCCCACCTCAGATGTACCGGGTATGCACTACGCCACTTCCCACCTCAGATGTACCGGGTATGCACTACGCCACTTCCCACCTCAGATGTACCGGGTATGCACTACGCCACTTCCCACCTCAGATGTACCGGGTATGCACTACGCCACTTCCCACCTCAGATGTACCGGGTATGCACTACGCCACTTCCCACCTCAGATGTACCGGGTATGCACTACGCCACTTCCCACTTCAGATGTACCGGGTATGCACTACGCCACTTCCCACTTCAGATGTACCGGGTATGCACTACGCCACTTCCCACTTCAGATCTGCGGCACTGAAAAGACTTTAAGTGATGTACAGTCAACTTTGGGTATAACGACACTCGGCGGGGCATCAGAAAAGTGCTCTTATTTTGCGAAGTGTCCTTATACCCGAAGTCTCATTATGTGTATTACAGTTGGATGGGACTTTGCTCTGGGCATGGAAATTCTAACGTTATTCGCGAATTGTCGTTATATCCGCTGTCGTTATTACTATATTAGCGAAGTTGACTGTACTTGTAATTCTTTGTTGCCATCTTCAATAGGTCCGTCAAATAGTAAGTTGACTTTATCCCCGGCTGCGACAGACAGCCATGCAGAAAAAGTCAGAAGCTGCATACTCTGGGTACTATGTACTCTTGACGACGATCACCAAGTAATTAGTATACACGTACATGGGATCTGTGAAGTTAGGCTTGAAGAGACTTCCGCTCAGCTAGGAAACTCTGCCTGCTGTTAGCATCAACCTATGATCAGCAGGGGTGTAGAAGGGGTTTGGAAAGTGGTACGACCAAAGGACAGAGTGGGCTGTGAAGGGGGGTGGGGTCCTCCTCGGGAATTTTTTTGTAAAAAGAGATATGAAATCGTGTGTTCTACATATTCTATAAAATTATGCAGAGCTCACTGACTTGTCAGTTTGAGCACTCTGGCAAGGTACGTTCGGGCCTGATTGGAAATTTTTATTTCCATTGCTATCAGGTTCGGCCTCATTTCCTCTGTGCTGCGCTGACGAGTCCACAAAGGACGAAACAGTTCTGTCCGCAGATTGAGTATTTCGCTCCTGCTCTTGTAGCAGTTGAGCACTCTTGCGTGGGGTAGTGCCTTTGCTGTTTGCAGTTTATGCAGAGCTCACTGACTTGTCAGTTTGAGCACTCTGGCAAGGTACGTTCGGGCCTGATTGGAAATTTTTATTTCCATTGCTATCAGGTTCGGCCTCATTTCCTCTGTGCTGCGCTGACGAGTCCACAAAGGACGAAACAGTTCTGTCCGCAGATTGAGTATTTCGCTCCTGCTCTTGTAGCAGTTGAGCACTCTTGCGTGGGGTAGTGCCTTTGCTGTTTGCAGTTTATGCAGAGCTCACTGACTTGTCAGTTTGAGCACTCTGGCAAGGTACGTTCGGGCCTGATTGGAAATTTTTATTTCCATTGCTATCAGGTTCGGCCTCATTTCCTCTGTGCTGCGCTGACGAGTCCACAAAGGACGAAACAGTTCTGTCCGCAGATTGAGTATTTCGCTCCTGCTCTTGTAGCAGTTGAGCACTCTTGCGTGGGGTAGTGCCTTTGCTGTTTGCAGTTTATGCAGAGCTCACTGACTTGTCAGTTTGAGCACTCTGGCAAGGTACGTTCGGGCCTGATTGGAAATTTTTATTTCCATTGCTATCAGGTTCGGCCTCATTTCCTCTGTGCTGCGCTGACGAGTCCACAAAGGACGAAACAGTTCTGTCCGCAGATTGAGTATTTCGCTCCTGCTCTTGTAGCAGTTGAGCACTCTTGCGTGGGGTAGTGCCTTTGCTGTTTGCAGTTTATGCAGAGCTCACTGACTTGTCAGTTTGAGCACTCTGGCAAGGTACGTTCGGGCCTGATTGGAAATTTTTATTTCCATTGCTATCAGGTTCGGCCTCATTTCCTCTGTGCTGCGCTGACGAGTCCACAAAGGACGAAACAGTTCTGTCCGCAGATTGAGTATTTCGCTCCTGCTCTTGTAGCAGTTGAGCACTCTTGCGTGGGGTAGTGCCTTTGCTGTTTGCAGTTTATGCAGAGCTCACTGACTTGTCAGTTTGAGCACTCTGGCAAGGTACGTTCGGGCCTGATTGGAAATTTTTATTTCCATTGCTATCAGGTTCGGCCTCATTTCCTCTGTGCTGCGCTGACGAGTCCACAAAGGACGAAACAGTTCTGTCCGCAGATTGAGTATTCTATAAAATTAAATAACTTGAAGAATACAACAAACAACAAGATGAACCACAATCTTCAATGCGCGGCACATCGTGTGAGTGCTGAAACAGACATTGCACTGTGCACATGAATCCGCCTCGCTTTCACACACAGCCAAGTACGAGAACGGTGCATAAAACACTGATTATATGCCACGTGGGTTGATTTGAACATTTTTACACACCAACAATGTGCTCATAGTCTGCTTCTGGTGCTTGTGCATGGGCGGGCAAACATGCAGGTGCATCTATGTACATGCATGTGTAAATGTGCTGTGTTTGTGTTGATGTGTGAGGGCAATGTCAGTCTATAAGCAGGAGATAACTTAAATCTACATATAGTCAAATACGGTATTTGGGTCAGTTGGTATCAACCCTAATTCCTATGTACCCTACTAAGCATCCACTCTGTTGTCTGACGATTGGCCCGATTACAATGTAACTCAGAGTTTAACACAAAGCAAAGGTTCCCGGCCTGTTACATGAGCATTATTGTGTATACAATTTTTATCTTGCTAAGTGGTCGTCCACAAGGATCAATATTTTTTGGGGAAGATATTGGTTCGTTAGGGGGGGGGGGGGGGGCGGGTTTGGTCTCTGTTCGTCTCATCTTTGTTAAAAATATATTGATCTCTAGATGTGGACGGGCACTGTGCAAACATACACATGTAGTTGATGACCTACAAGAAGTGAAAGTCGGCCTCGTGAATATGAATGTAGCCACGGCAAGATTTTGCGACCATCGCAATGAAAACCTAGCTGTACCTTGAATTTGGAGTTGCTGTTGGTCATGTTTCATGAGGAGATTGCACTAAAAATATCGATCCCCTGCATACACGTGTGTATGTTCGTTTTAGGGAGGGGGGGGAGAAATGAACAAATATCGTCTCGAAAAAAATTGGTATTTACGGATGGCCCCTAAGCCAGCATTGCTCTATCTACAGGTTTCTCCTGGTTGCAGATTCGAACAACATTGGCGTGGGTTTTGTTTTCTTTGACGACTGCTGGTCTACATCAGGAGCAAATCTGTCCAGCCCATGTCAGCCGGTGAAAGGTCGTCACAACGGCTGTTGGAAGACCTCTCCGCAAGCTAAGGATCGCACAACAGTGGAGAGATACAAGCCGTACGTCGGCAATGTTGCTAGCAAGTTCAAAGATGACAAGAGAGTATTGTGGTGGGAAAGTAAGTGAGTATTGGGTGGACACTGCCCATGCGGGTCGTATCTTGTACAGGCTCATGCAGTCGTATCTTGTACAGACTCATGCAGTCGTATCTTGTACAGGCTCATGCAGTCGTATCTTGTACAGGCACATGCAGTCGTATCTTGTACAGGCACATGCAGTCGTATCTTGTACAGGCTCATGCAGTCGTATCTTGTACAGGCTCATGCAGTCGTATCTTGTACAGGCTCATGCAGTCGTATCTTGTACAGGCTCATGCAGTCGTATCTTGTACAGGCACATGCAGTCGTATCTTGTACAGGCACATGCAGTCGTATCTTGTACAGGCACATGCAGTCGTATCTTGTACAGGCACATGCAGTCGTATCTTGTACAGGCTCATGCAGTCGTATCTTGTACAGGCACATGCAGTCGTATCTTGTACAGGCTTATGCAGTCATATCTTGTACAGGCACATGCAGTCGTATCTTGTACAGGCTCATGCAGTCATATCTTGTACAGGCTCATGCAGTCGTATCCCTCCTCTTTACATGTATTTCCTTCACAAGAGAAATTTGGATTTATACTGGACTTTGTACATGACTTTCTGTGTTGTTTGGCATGGTATTCAAAACTATTCCTTTTTGTGTTCTCTTGGTGATTTGTGTCAGTATACAACGAACCTCACACCACATTTGCTCCCAAAGGCTACTCGATTGCATTGCGACAAGCGGCATACACCTGGCTGAAGGAGAGCAATGTGTCACAGCCTGTACTCAGCTGCTGGGATGACAACAACGACACGGACATTGTCGATACACACCACTACTCATCAGACTTTACCGGCTGGACCAGTGCGGTGTACTCCAATCCCGACAAGGGTGCTGCAGTGACCGAGGCTGGTTCTCGGTGGTACCAGGGCTATCCCAGCGACAGTGGATCAACACTGATGGTGGTCACGTGGCTGCAAGCACTCAGGCAGCTGCATGCCAACTGGCTTGCGGGCAAGGAGCCGTGCTCAGTGGCCGGGCACAATGTGACGTTTGTACCGGGAGCAATGATAAGCTGGGAGCTGATGGTTGGCAACAGTAATACACGCTGGCACTGGAACACTAAAGATGGCAGGTGAGCGGGCAACACTATAATATCACTGGGAATACAGTTAAACCTGTGAGTAACGACCACCCCTTGGGGCCAGAGAAAGCGGTCTTTAGTGGCAGGTAGTCCTTAGTTAGAGGTTTGCACGCACACCCGTATTTATGAATGTGAGACCGTCCGTGCCTGGTGAAGTGGCCTGTAGTACCAGGCTGGCCGCTAGTCACGGTGGTCTTTAGTACCAGGCTGGCCGCTAATCACGGTGGTCTTTAGTACCAGGCTGGCCGCTAGTCACGGTGGTCTTTAGTACCAGGCTGGCCGCTAGTCACGGTGGTCTGTAGTACCAGGCTGGTCGCTAATCACGGTGGTCTTTAGTACCAGGCTGGTCGCTAATCACGGTGGTCTTTAGTACCAGGCTGGCCGCTAGTCACGGTGGTCTTTAGTACCAGGCTGGCCGCTAGTCACGGTGGTCTTTAGTACCAGGCTGGCCGCTAGTCACGGTGGTCTGTAGTACCAGGCTGGTCGCTAATCACGGTGGTCTTTAGTACCAGGCTGGTCGCTAATCACGGTGGTCTTTAGTACCAGGCTGGCCGCTAGTCACGGTGGTCTTTAGTACCAGGCTGGCCGTTAGTCACGGTGGTCTTTTAGTACCAGGCTGGCCGCTAGTCACGGTGGTCTTTAGTACCAGGCTGGCCGTTAGTCACGGTGGTCTTTAGTACCAGGCTGGCCGCTAGTCACGGTGGTCTTTAGTACCAGGCTGGCCGCTAGTCACGGTGGTCTTTAGTACCAGGCTGGCCGTTAGTCACGGTGGTCTGTAGTACCAGGCTGGCCGCTAGTCACGGTGGTCTTTAGTACCAGGCTGGCCGCTAGTCACGGTGGTCTTTAGTACCAGGCTGGCCGTTAGTCACGGTGGTCTTTAGTACCAGGCTGGCCGCTAGTCACGGTGGTCTTTAGTACCAGGCTGGCCGCTAGTCACGGTGGTCTTTAGTTATAGGTTTTACTGCATATTTAATACGTTTTTTTTTAATCAGTTTCGACGCATCTTTTGTTCTTTATGGCACAGTGGGTTGGTCAAGGACCATGATTGAGATACGAGAGGTACCTGGTTCAAGTCCTGCCTGGGAGCGGTTTTTCCAGCCGTGCTGCTACCCACAGTCAACTGGGAACTTGTGGCCTGGCACAAGGGGTACATGGATGCGGCTAATGGGGTCTTTCTCGGCAATTGTGCCAGTGGTTGTGAGACTTATCCACTCACCCCCACCGTTAGGCGCTGCATCTGCCGCTAGGGTTTACCGGGTGTTAGCGGCCATCGTGAGTTCCCTTCGGGAACGGACACGATAATTTACTTCTTCTTTTAACCCATTGAACGCTGATGACGTCTATAGACGTCATTGAAAATGCCCCCCATGCGCGGGATGACGTCTATAGACGTCATGGGATATATAGTGATTTCTGGCACTGTCTGGTGTGTAAAAGCACTGTTAGTCAGTTGGATCATGATCCTGCCTCTTGTACGATAGGTTGTTGGTACGAATCCCGCTCGGAAACACTACGCGTCTTTTTTCTTCTCTTTTCAGCGATCTTTCAGCTGCAATTTCACGCATTTGGCGTATTTCACGCAATTTGAGCAAACTTGCGTCCCCTATTGTGATGCATTATTCTTTTTGGGGACTGTATCGATTCTGTCACCCTGTGGTTGATAGTCTTGGCAATCATTTCCAAAATATTTGAGGACCCCAGTTGCCAGAACCCTGGAGTTTTAGAACTTGCTATTGGCCCTGTTTTTAGCATTTTATATGCAGAGTACCATAGGCAAGGCCCAGTAGCGCTGAATGGGTTAAAATACCGGTATGATGTATACGTGTACACAGGTGTCATGCCGGACATACACAATACCGATCTCAAGGCTACAACATCTACATTTGCATTGCCGTAGTAACCCCACCAGGTCATCAACCAATATAGTTGATCCAAGTATCCATTCAGCCACACACGCTCACCTTGGTCATTCGAAGAAGGTTGAGAGTAACTGTGATTTCAAGCTCGATTCAAGATTGAAGGTCGAAGGAAGGTTGGCACTTTTGATCAGAAGCAGCAGGAGTTATATGATAACAAAAAGGATTGAGTTAGACAAAGGCGGGAAAAACCAACCAATCAGACCATAGAGAGCTTGTTGCTATGCAGAATTGACCAATGGGAGAAGACAAGGAGAAATGCGTATTATTTATGAATTAACTAAACAGCCAGCGTATACGATAAGACAGTTAGCAGATACAACATCCCGTGGCACATGCATTGATAAACGTGACAAGTAGATACAAAAGACAACTGCCGTACAAACGCGCGCTCATGAGGGGAACACGTTCACCCAACATGTAAACTAGTACCGGCAGAGTAGTTAGTTCGTCGTACAACCCGGGGAAGTTTGTCGTACAGCCCGGGAGAACCTGTCAGCTGCCGTGGCCGATATGACACAGGGACTGTGTGCTTTAACCTGCTACAGTGCTCAATTCCTGTGATGGGCAGAGCCCATCTATTCGGTGTATTCTTTCCCGCCACCTAAACGTGGGGCATGTGTGTGTATGAAATGTTTCATTTCCAACCATACAAGATGCACTTCGAAAAATCAGGCTGGGCCGTGCAAGACTGCCCCCATCCTCCACGAGATCAAGAGAGGTCGTTAGTTACAGGTTTTACTGTGCACTATTTTCCGCTATCTGAATGTGTGGCGTATGTGTACGTTATTCCCAACCAGACAGGGAGAACTTAAAAAAAGGTCCGTTCCATGGGAACCTGTACCCATCCCCCAAGAGGTTGTACCCCCCCCCCCACCCTACCTATGTGATTGTTGCGGCACCACAACTGTCGGGACGAGCACGAAAGCATTATTTTCGCTGTTTGGGTACATCTTCCTAGAAAATCTTTTCAACAGGCATGATGACATACCCAACTTTCGAATTTGAATTTTGCTTCTGGAATATTTGAAATCCGTCAGTTTGAGGGAGTTGAGATAAAATCGAATAGTCAATAGTTTAGAATCACATCCCTAACCTTTATCCTGCCTGCTTTGTTACTCTATGCTGCAGCCCAGAGCCGGCTATTCCGTGGGACGCTCATCTATTTCCCGACGGCACACCAGTGTCGCTTACCGAAGCCGCGGCCCTGCGTAACCTGACAACGGGGAAGGATGAGTTTCTCTACTACAACACGTCGCTGCCTGTGTCTGCAATGCTGACGCAGGACTCCTTTCTCAACATCACCGGCAAGGACCAGTTCATCCCGTGGATTGCCGGCTTGAAGACGCCGATGACCGACGCCGTGGCGGAGGCAGCTATCTGGGTTGGAGAGCAGGCGGACACGGCCGGTATGCTGGTTCGGCAGCAGTGGACGGTGAAGAGCTCGCAGGCAGGCTATTATGTAGGCGTCGATGTTCCGAGCAGGACGCTGAGCGTGGCTCGCTGGACACCAAACATGAGCCCAGTGCTCGGCACGTATGACTTGTCCAAGAGAGAGAACGGGCTGATCGTGAACGGCTGGAACTTGCTCAGGGTTGCCATAGTGGGAAACAAAACGTCGGTGTGGTTCAACCCGGCGCATTCGGATGCTACAGGCGAAGACGGCACGCCTCAGCCAATCAAACCGCTAATCGTTGCCGTTGACGACAATCCCGATGACCCAGAGCAGATTGCGTCCGGCGACCTGGCACTGGTGACGCTGGATGATAACATGAAAGTCGACTACATCAGCCTGCTGCCAATATCCGTCTTGCCATCTTCAGTGCTGTAGCTTCAACGGCAAGCCACGGCTGGCACACACCTGGACTCGAAATTCCAGCACAGCTCTAGACCAACCCACAGTACAGCTACGTTCGTAATGATAGGATGAGTGGATCCGAATGACAGCCATTGTTCTTGACAAACAGTTAATATCTGCAACTGCATGAGAGCACAACATAATAATTACTGTAAATATACAAATTTTCGGCAGCTATTTAATTTCGGCTATATTCGGCACCGACCCAAAACGCCTAAATTAAAACGCCGATGAAATTTTTCACAGCATCTGTCGCACTATACCATGCCCTCTACCCCACGCCGAAAATAAATCGCCGCCGAAATGTCAAAAATCGTGAAGTGCCGAAATTTTGTATATTTACAGTATACAGTTTTCAAATCTTTTTTGGAAAAGGAGAGTGCACGCCCATGGCAAAGTAACCCATCTAGACGTGAGCCTTGTACATACAGCAGTGGGCACTGTACAAGTACAAATTTCGGTCCAACCAACCAACATGGGTCAGCAGACCAACCGGTTTATTTTTCCAGGATCGCAGTATATGTTTGGTCCTGTGTGTGCGTGTATGTGTGTGTGTGTGTGTGTGTGTGTGTGTGTGTGTGTGTGTGTGCGCGCATGTGTGTGGTGTGCGTGCGCATGTGTGTGAAAGAGAGAGAGAGAGAGAGGATGGAACCATGGCTCCATCGTCTCCGATGACTCGATGACAGATGACGGTCTTGATGGAACCAGCTTATCACGACGTGTTTGCCATGCGTGGAGCACACTAAACCACCACTTGACACGTACACTGTACGTGCACACAACTACAGGAGGCAAGAGGCTGGTTTGCTGTAACTTGAATTTCACTTACTGGGTGATAATCAGAAGACAGTACTAATTGAACACTGTATTGGTCCTGATTAGGACACACATACATATACTACATATACTCTGATTTTCTGCAGAGCTCACTGACTTGTCAGTTTGAGCACTCTGGCAAGGTACGTTCGGGCCTGATTGGAAATTTTTATTTCCATTGCTATCAGGTTCGGCCTAATTTCCTCTGTGCTGCGCTGACGAGTCCACAAAGGACGGAACAATTCTGTCCGCAGACTGAGTATACTCTGATTTACTAATTTAGCGATGAATAATATCAAATGCACAATCCTAACACAAACATTTCAACCAAAGTAGTTATGCGTCTAGAGCATTTTCTTGTCACAAACATTAGTGGCATATCGTTTCATTAATTGCCTGCAAATTTGCTGGTCATAGCACAAGAAAATGTCACTTGAGGAACATGACTCCAACATGAACAACTCCAATAAATAATAAATATTGAAAGAAAGGTAGGGTTTATCGGGTGTTAGCAGCCGTCGTGAGTTCCCTTCGGGAACGGACACGATAATTTCCTTTTTTTACTTTAAAGGAACTGCTGTAAATTCTTGATTTCTTTAACTGCTTTGGAAAAACAATAATGCTCGAAATTGAGATCTTCAATATCCACTCGGGTCAAAATAAGGAGGCGATACGTATGGGAATATCAAGGATAATAGATTAAATGAAGTAAATTTTAATATTCATCAGATTGAGGGAAAGATGCAAAAAATAACTAAAAAGATTATATCATTGCGTAGTATCCAAATTGAATACCACGTTCCGCCCTTAATGCTATTTGTGTATAGTAATACCAAAAATGGTAATACTTGTAGGATAAGGATAGACAACTTTTAAAGCTCAGCATGCAATGAATTTCTGTCTTACTACTCAAATTGGCATTACTATGGCTGGTGGGGTGATACATGTCGTTCTGTATATACATGTACAATCGGTGATGGTGAATGAAATCAGACGACGTGAGTCAAGTCTGCGTCCTGCGCCTCTTCCCATCCCAGGATTCCCAGATCTGGGGCTGCACGGCGCCCGGCCCATACTTCACTCATACGATCATTACAACTTCATTGAGCTGCCCACACCGGTACATACCCAGTGTTTCAAGTAGCCGCCTGAGAAGCTTCACGCCGTGCTGTGATGAGGCGGCGCTATATAGATTGCCGCAGTATCATCTCCAGTGCGATGAGTAGCACAGAGCAAGCGCGGCACGCTGATGCAAACTTCCTGCGAGTAGCAATGTACCAGTAAGTACCGGTACCGGTAAGTACCGGTAAGTATTTTACTACTCCTGGTTTGCATGCCACATCCACAATTGACTGCTTTGGTGAGGTTCCTGCACCGGTGATGATACGGCTGGCATCACATGCACAATCTTGCCAGTCGTAACTAGAATATCTCAAGTGCATGTGCAACAACAGCACTCAACCCAGAACCATGATCAGACATAGAATGTCTTGATAGCGTAGAGCAGCTGCACGATGGCCCTCTCCTCATTGTCCGCGATGTCCTCCGGCGTGCAGATCGTGCGCACGTGCTCCAGCTGCGGCGAGCCAGACTCCTGGAGCAGTGTCAGGGCCATGTCGGCATTGTGTAATGATTCACCGTGGCTGAACGGCACCGCGAAGAAGCTGTCCAGGCGCACGAAGAACGACCCCAGCATGCCGGCAAGCAGTATGAACAGCACACCACTGGCAAAGTCGCCGATGGACTCCGCCGGCTTCGTGATCACGCCGAGGTGATTGTTGACGAACTCGAGCAGCGAGTCCACCAGCACGTGCCGCTGCCCGCTCTGGTAGAGGCAGCGCACGCACGTCACCGCGTTCTGCAGCTCCAAAATCTCGTTCTGGTTGTGCCAGAAGATGTCGACTTCGGCGGTAAGGCGCACGGATAGCGGGACTGTCACCATTGTATTCATGTGACGCGTTGCCCGCACAAAGTCCAGCGTGATGTTGACGGGCAGCTTTGGGTAGCCGCCACTGCGATGGTACAGCGCCAGCTGCGTAGCCACCTGCAGCAGTGCCAGCGGGTTGCGGTCCAGCAACTCTTCCAGCAGCGAACTGTGCACGCCCAGCTCATAGTCTGCCGCCGACGTGTCGTCGCACTCCTCGTGTCCCCACTGCCCGCACGCGGCGCCCAGCTGCTCCACGCCTAAATCGTGCTCGATCTCGCGCAGTACTGCTTCCCATTTCTCGCGTACCGCCGAGCTGCTGACGGAAATGTGGATGTTGGGTCCGATACCCAGCTGAACGCCTCTAAGAATTTCCAACAGCTCCACAAGCACGCTTCCATCCCAGAGATCGGCAAAGAACGACCTGACCACGATGGAGCGCTTTCGGACGGTATCGTTGATCCAGTCCAGGAGGCTTTCGGTCAGCTTGCTCAGTTGCTCTTGATTGTTTTCGCTGGAAGCGAGCACCAAATGGGATTTGAAATCGCACCTCCAAGTACGTTTCGCCATGTCCATGACTTCCACTCGCTTTTCGGCCACTCCAGCTTCCGCACGCAGAGACAGAGCGCTCCAACTGGGCTCTCGTTGACCGAGTACAGTCGGTTTTGCAATCTTGGAAACACTTTGTTGTGCGATGACTTCAACACAAACTCCGAGGACAGCAAGGGACAGGACGGGAATGCAGCAGTTCGGCAACTGACGACGATGCAGAGACCGGGCGGCTGATGTTGTGATGGACAAAACGTCCGCTTCGCTGAGGTCACCATAATTTATTTTACTCACTGCGGTCCGACTCTCTCTCGGACTCATGTGAGGATCTGTATCGCTGTAGTTGTGTTACCTCAGTCGATATCACGTGTGCATGGCTTGATCAGCGTATTCATTGCTCAATGATCAGTTTCTGATGCATAATAAGTATGCGTAGCTACCGCGTAGACTACTGTGGCGGTAGCTAGAGCCGAGTGCATGCGAGATGCAGCCCGACGTGTAAATCCGAAGCAGGAATGCTAGAACTTAGTAGAAGTAGAACCGAGAGCTCCGGTCTCCGGACCAACGACGTTACTAGTAATATTGTGGTCAAGTGAGGTCATGCGTTTCCACTGCTTCACTTTCACTCTTCACAGTCACTGTAAGTAGCGAGGAAACCTCGTAGTTTTGAGACCAGACTGATGTCTGTGATGAGTGGTGGCGCTGCAGTGTCACCGCTCCACTGCTGCATACCTGGACGAGAGCTCGGACCTAACAGCAAAGAGCGATCCAACAGCCGATGACTGCCGCCGGTAAACCATGATGAACTAACTATTCATGTAGCATGCTGCAGCTAAAAAAGACAAGTCTACAATGTACGTCTCTGCTACGGAGCACTCGATGACCCATATTCAGTCTCTACGTGAAGAAGACTACCGGTAGTCTACATCAGTGGTCTTGCAATGACTGTACTGTTATCATGGTTATGCATGGACCGGTTTGATAACTGCACTCGGACAGTACAGCAGGCCCAGGTCCACCGGTCTTGACGCGGCTGGCCTGTTGCTAATGTCATCAAATGAGAAAATATTGGTCACTTCCAAAACGTGTAGATCTACCACTGCAGTACTCAATATGGACGTACATGTACGTAAACCGGTGAACTGCAGCTGAGGCAAGGCAAGTCTCCGCTACGCGCATACGTATCGGAACACTCACTGACTCAAGTCTCTAGCTCTACATGAAGACTAAGTAGTCTACATCACTACACTTATCACTGCGACATCTGTGCAATGACTGTACGTACTGTTGCAGTGTTGCCCGTTGCATTGCATGGACCGGTTTGATACCTGCACTCCTACTCCTGGTCCTAATCCGAAGGCCCAGGTCCACCGGTCCTGGCGCTGGCCTGTTGCTAATGCCAAGAATGGTCACTTCCAAAACGTGTACAGCTGTAGAGTCTACCAGTAGACCTACATGTACGTACTGAAGGTCACAATAATCATAATGTACATTATACCGGTACATGTACATGCATGCACATCTACATGACATTGGTTACACATGACATGTGTATTTTGACGTAAAAACGTGGTTGCAGTTGGCTACTTCGTCCTTAACCCTTCGATATAGTTTGATATAGTCGCTTCTCTGGGCCTGAGTTCATCACGACGTGACGTAGTTCGGTGGATAACGCCAGCCACGATCGGCGAGTTTGTTTCTCACGGTTCACAAGTTCACAATACACCGATAATGACACCGGCAACATCGACGATCAGGAATCTTAGGAATATGGGAGCGTAGACGGTTGTCTACACAAGGAAATAGTTTGCCAAGGAACAAGGCCATGCCACAATGACATTGTTGTCTGATGATTAACCACATGGCAAGGAAGCTAGCTGTATATGCAGACGAAAATGAAAAAGAAAGGACCAAAAGTTCTACATCATTTTATCACGGTAGATGTCCGACACTTACGAACAGTTACATGTACATGTACATGTATAATGTATAAGCAAGATTCTGGTGAGTCGCAACGTGCAACACTCAGCACAATAATGACTGACATGGTACTGGCACAAAGGTTTAGCGGACCTGATGTAACAGCTCTATCACATCTCGAATGTGCAAACCAACAGCCGTCCAACTTGGAAGGTTCGCGTTCTCGTCCTCGTCCTCGTTCTCGAAGTGAGCCGTGGCAGTCCTGTGCCGTGAACCCTTCGTCTTTCGTCATCATTTTGTCATAGCTAGCCTGACATTCTTAGTTCGCAGTGATGTTTAGCTTTTTTTCGCCTTGAGTGCGCTCACCTTCCCCTTTCTCACCTCACTCCATGACTTCGAACCTTCCAACTGCAAGTAGTGGGGAGGCTGTTGGTACAAGTACATGTAGTTGGGAGGCTGTTGGTTTGCGCATTCGAGACGTGATGGGGCTAAACATCGACGATCGTGTGAGGTATTGGACTGTATTCAGAGCCATTTATCTCCTTTCTTCCTGTTGTATAATACTTACTATCCGGTGCGTATTTACCGCCATATTACCAGGTGCGTGTTTACCACCATAATTATGAATAAAATCCTCAGGAACCCATCGTGCTAACTGCTGCACGTTCTGAATAGTTTTTTGTACTTTCTTTTTGATTGCCTTGGCTTTCCATCCGAGCCTAAAATGGCAATATAGCCTTAAAAAGTGTTGCATTGCAAACTTGTGTCATTTGGCTATGTCCTCACAGCATATTACAAGTAATTTATAGCAACTTAAGCTTGGGAGTTAACTAGCCTTAAACTAGGGCATGACTGTAAAGTCACTTACATGTACTTCGAGTACGTAGTACGTACATGTACATGTACGTGTTATGGTCGCATTGTGTGCGACCATATATTTTACCTTTCATGGCAATTGGTATCTCAATTTTTTCACGTCTACATGACTTTATCTTGCCCGTAAAAGAGGCCGTTACCCCGCAAAAAAAATTGTGTGCAATAGATGTACATGTACAATGCATCATGTACATTTGATTTTAACTACATTGTAGATGGTTTGGTAGAAAAACTTGGGCGGAAACCAAGGACATGATTGTACTATGATATAATCTAACACTAGATAGACCATGTTATAGTTCACGCAATTGCACTGTCAATCTAACAATTATGATTGTACTACATGTAGAAGCAGATCTACTACGATAGCTTGTCTCAGCCTCCGCCTCACGGACCTGCAGCATGCTACAAAGTCAGAGCCTGAGCTGAGGCGAAGTGCAGGAATATCGACTGCTTCCCACCGAACCGTTACCTTCCGAAGTGCCGGTACGTACAATGTCAATGAGATAGCTAGGGATTATAGCAGCTCTAATTGTACCACTAAATCATACCGTAATTTCACAAATTTTCCTTGTACATGTACTTTTTACATGTTCAGTACCTTCTGTGCTTCCGTTTCATACCTAAAATGTCATAACCGAACAAACACAAAGCACATAATCCAAGAGGAGACTGTCTCTCTGTACCTGAATTTTCTGTTCACCTAACCTGGTAGTACTATTATTATCACGCAGGCTGCAATATTCAATGACATAATTAAAGACATATTCATAAATGACATATCTTCAATACCCATGAGCTACATTGTATATGATAATTATATCATTGTATCATCGTTCTAGCTCAATTTCTTTCCCCTGTCATAGTCCTGTTTATCATGTTCAGCATAAGCGAAGTTGTGGATCATGCTTGCATGGTTGACTCCAACGCCGCTACATGCAAGTAATAATAATAATAATAATAACCTGGTCCTTTGCCCTCATACCCCGAAAGAAAGATTTGGACCACCTACCTGTACATGTAAAACTTACTTCTGAAATCAGTACTTTACCTTTCATGGTATCTCAAATTTTTTCACGTCTACATGACTTTATCTTGCCCATAAAAGAGGCCGTTACCCCGCCAAAAAAAAGTACAGTCATGTTACTTCATCAGTTTGTGTGGCGGACCTGGAGTAAAATGATCAAAGAGTTGTACGACTGCCTGACAAATCACATCTCCTTGCACCAGACTTTATTGTAGGAAGAGTAGGCTCTGGGTCTGGGGACCCGGGAGGTTATAGCTATACTCTTGATACTAGCAAGAGTACATAGTATTCCTGGGAGCTTGTTGACTTGTACTGGATAGGTACAAATCTTCCTTTATGAAATCTTTCGTTAGATCACTCCACCAGCAGGTTCGTTACGTACAACATTTCGTTTTTGGTCGAGGTCTGTCACCCCGAACGATCAGAAAAATTACTTTGGTACAGACTTTAGTTACTAAGTTTCGTGCTCCCTAACGAAAAAAAGCGAAAGTTAATTCCAAACCAAACTTTCTACTTACATGTATACAGTAATCCTAATACTAGCATAACGGGGGGGGGGGGGTTACTGTATTTACACTTGATACACGTGTAGCCTACATAACCTGAAACTTTATTTACAATTATGGTGGTAAACACGCACCTGGCAATATGGCGGTAAATACACGCCGGCCAGTAATTAAACAACAGGAAGAAAGGAGATAAATGGCTGTAAATACAATAATATTTTACTCTTGATACTAGTACTCATTGAAGTACCTGGACCTGTACAAACAGCGCATGCATGCTGTAACTATTTTCTTTCTGTTTGGCTTTATTTCATCGCCTGCAAACAAACTGTTAACCGTGAGAACTCTGAAAGTTCAAACCGACCAAATAATATAGAGCGCAAAATAAATGTATTGTGAAAACAAGTTGTGATAGCAACCCATCAGGAGTTGTACACTGGAGTGGGGAGTTTTGACCGACTCTTGGTCCTGCATGTAGTGCTACATGAAGAGTGATAGGGTTCAAGTAATAGTTACCCTTGGATTGGAGTGCACCACCATACCCAGACATTCCCCAGTCTCTGCTTACTCAGTGGGGTGGCACTCACAGTCTCCCCTGGCTGGGGCGGCACTCACAGTCTCCCCTGGCTGGGGTGGCATTCCCCAGTCACTGCTGGCTGGTACCATTCACAGTCACTGCTGGCTGGTGCCATTCACAGTCTCTGCTGGCTGGTGCCATTCACAGTCTCTGCTGGCGGTGACATTCACAAGCTCAACTGGTCTCTGCTGGTGTGTGTTCGATTAAAAAATACACTTTGGCTTTATGCACTACTAGCAGCACCCGGCCAGCGTTGCCTGGCCGAACGTGGCATGCGGGTGAAGCAAGTACATGAACAGCACACGTGCTCAGCACGTGGTGGTGGCTACACGATTCGCACGCTTCGCGTGCTCAGTGCTTCTGCGGCCGCTAGCTACACTGTTCGCACGCTTCGCGTGCTCAGGGCAGCGCTTCTGCGTAACACACAGACAAACACACGTCACAGGTGCCTCTTCTTTATAGTATATATGTATCCAGCATTGTGCTGAAGAACCTCGTATGAAGCATGGAGAGAGAGAGAGAGAGAGAGAGAGAGAGAGAGAGAGAGAGAGAGAGAGAGAGAGAGAGAGAGAGAGAGAGAGAGAGAGAGAGAGAGAGAGAGAGAGAGAGAGAGAGAGAGAGAGAGAGAGAGAGAGAGAGAGAGAGAGAGAGAGAGAGAGAGAGAGAGAGAGAGAGTCTCTGACCCCTAACTGTTGGTTCGTGCTAGGACAGATGGCGGCAGAGCCGAAATGGGGAGAACACTGACATAATCCACTTTCATATTTTCATCGAGCGTGATGAGTCCCAGATCACCGGATGGAATGTATTCCGGGTCATCTGGGACATCACCGGCAACAATGAGCGGTTTGATTGGCTGCGGCGAGCCATCTTCGCTTACAGCATCAGAATGCGCCGGGTTGAACCATACGGACGTTATGTTTCCCACAATAGCAACCCTGAGCAGGTTCCAGCCGTTCAGGATCAGCCCGTTCTCTCTCTTGGACAAGTCATACGTGCCGAGCAGGGGGCTGTGGTTTGGAGTCCAGCGTGCTACACTCAATGTCTTGCTGCCCACGTTGACACCGACATAGTAGCCCGCCTGGGTGCTCTTGACTGTCCAGCGCTGGCGCATGATCAGTCCGGCCGTGTTGGCCTTCTCTCCGACCCAGATGGCCGCCTCCGCCACGGCGTCGGTCATCGGTGCTTTCAAGCCGGCAATCCATGGTATGTACTCGTACTTCACCGTCATGTTGAGATAGGAGTCCTGCGTGAGCATTGCAGACACGGGCAGCGACGTGTTGTAGTAGAGAAACTCATCCTGCTCCGTTGTCAGGTTCCGCAGGGCCGCGGCTTCGGTAAGCGATACTGGCGTGCCGTCGGGAAATAGATGAGCGTCCCACGGAATAGCTGGCTCTGGGCTGCAGTGCAAAGTCAGAGAGAGAGAGAGTAGAGCAGGTCAAACCATGATCAGAACAAAGCTCCATAGTCCATAGTCAGGTCAACTTTGTAGCAAGGCAGAACAGTTGATCATAAGTACATCGAATAGGTTCAGCCTGGATCCAACTGAGGTTGTTCCTGGCTACAGTCAGACCTCAATAAGCCGCACACATCCGTTTTCCACAAAATATCCGAGTAGGCGAGGGAAGCGGATAATCGAACACACATGCTGTATGTATGCATGGCAAATGCTGTAAATCGGTAACCAACGATTTTCTTCCGGATGACGAGAAATCTGGATAAAAGAGGACCGGGTAAGCGAGGTCCGACTGTACCTCGATTTAGCATGCTTAGTTTCAGTTTACAGTAGCAAAACTTTGCTTTGCAATGGATAAAATACTGTTTTGCAGTAGTAAACACTTTGGGAACACTTTTCTGTGACAAAACTAGAGGAATTCCCTGGTCCCTGGACATGCTATGAACTACAGTTGAACATTGATTATCCGAAATAATCAGACCATTCGAATTTCCGGGACGGGTTTTCGAACCACACGTGACTCAGGCTGCGCATTTTTGTATGGGAGCATGCACAAAAAGTTAGTTGCTGCAGTGTGCACTCGCTTCCTGCACCACTGCGTACAGGCTGTAAAGTCAGAAACTTACAAAAACTAACACGAAAACGACTGTTGTTGCGGGTACTGTGATATACCGAACACAGGTATCGGCCTGTGGTGAGATTTTCCTTATCCGGAACACTTTCATTACCTGAACACCTTCCCAGGGCTCGCTGCCCAGAGGTGGTCGGATAATCGATGTTCAACTGTTACTGCAGTCAGTATACAGACTCTTCACTCCTGCATAAACATGTGGGCCCAAACATTTGGGAGGTGAATTTCGAAAGGTCCGAAGACAAAATTGAGTTTCATCTGCAGGATTTAACCCAGGGATCTTTGTACAAGTTTACTTCCTTTTTTCATATACGCTCTGCGCAATGTATTAATGTGGCAGCAGCAAACATACCACATGAACGTATTCACAAAACTTAGGTTCACATGACCCGCGAGTAGGGACCGGCGGATTATGCTCGAAAAGGTGGCAGATTCTGCTCGAAAAGCAGTGAAATTGGCAGAACCATACAAACCTTATGGCGGGCAATTCCTCGAATTCTGCTCCATTTCTTTATCCACATAGTGGTGAAACGAATGTCAAAACCTAGTAGCCGAATATTCTTTGGCTTAACGAACGAACGTACGAATATTCTTTTGGTAACACGGATGACATCACATGCCCTCCTCTCAGTCATTTGATGGATATTGTCATTACTATTAGGTATGACAAACGGTAGTGCCACATAAAATGCACTGCCACATAAGGCTACTTCGAAGTTCATACATGTTATGTGCACCATTGGCAGTCCAGTATGCACATACATGTGCAAGCATGCAGTGCAAAGTCACAGGCAGGCTGTACTCGCTGTCTGTACTGTGTTTGGCGTGCATGCACGTACATGCACTACATTCGAAGTGACGTCACGAATACTCGAATGCGACTTAAAGAATATTCGAATGTGACCAACCGAACGAATGTTCGAATATTCGTTTCACCACTACGGCACATACCAAACATGCATGAAACTTACCAGAAAAAGTACCGAATTCTGACATTTTTTGCCGGCATAATCCGCCGGTGCCTACCCGCGAGGGTTCTGAATAGTGGATACGCAAAGTGCAGCTTTCAAAAAAAGGTGACTATGGATGTCAGAAAATATAATTAATTTTATTTTGGTTGTTACTACTTGCCATGTCACTCTGAACACCCCAACCAAAATCAGGTTCCCATTCTTGTCAACGCATACAATAAATGTTCAGTAAAACCTGTGACTAACGACCACCCACACGAAAGCGGTCTTTACTGGCAGGTGGTCCTTAGTTAGAGGTTTGCACCGCGCAACCATACATGAATGTGAGACCGTCTGTACCTGGCGGAGTGGTCTGCAGTACCAGGCTGGCTGCTAGTCACGGTGGTCTGTAGTTACAGGTTTTACTGTATTCCCAGTGATATTTTAGTGTTGCCCGCTCACCTGCCATCTTTAGTGTTCCAGTGCCAACGTGTATTACTGTTGCCAACCATCAGCTCCCAGCTTATCATTGCTCCCGGTACAAACGTCACATTGTGCCCGGCCACTGAGCACGGCTCCTTGCCCGCAAGCCAGTTGGCATGCAGCTGCCTGAGTGCTTGCAGCCACGTGACCACCATCAGTGTTGATCCACTGTCGCTGGGATAGCCCTGGTACCACCGAGAACCAGCCTCGGTCACTACAGCACCCTTGTCGGGATTGGAGTACACCGCACTGGTCCAGCCGGTAAAGTCTGATGAGTAGTGGTGTGTATCGACAATGTCCGTGTCGTTGTTGTCATCCCAGCAGCTGAGTACAGGCTGTGACACATTGCTCTTCTTCAGCCAGGTGTATGCCGCTTGTCGTAGTGCAATCGAGTAGCCCTTGGGAGCAAGTGTGGTGTGAGGTTCGTTGTATACTGATACAAATCAACAAGACAACACCACATCAATAGTAATGAATACCATGCCAAAAAACACAGAAAGTCATGTACAAAATCTTGTTATCGATTTTTTTCTTGTGAAGGAACTACATGTAGGGGGGGGGGGGAGGGGATACGACTGTATGAGCCTGTACAAGATACGACCCATTAGATAAACCTTGTTTTGTTGAAAAATGTTGTTGGTTGATAGCATGTAAGAAGGCGGAGACCACTAGACCTTTCCCAAATCGGCCATTCATTTTGGCCTATTCGGCTTTTCGATCGGCTGAAAAATCGCCAGAATCGGCTGAAAATTTCTGTAAAAGGTGGAAATTCGGCTCTAAAGTCGCAGCCACCTTTTGCAGATGATGGCTACAGAAATTGTATTTGCATGCTATTGAGGCACTAAAACATCAATTTTCGGCGAATTCAGTGCGAAAATTGCGTATTCGGCTAAAAGATCGGTGATTTCTTCAAAACCACTATTTTCGGCCAATGTTTCAGCCGGCCGATTTGGGAAATGCCCACGGGCCGTGACGCAGGCGCGCACGAGCGGTCATGCCCAGTTGCCCACGACCCTGCAAAACATGTATATTCAGCGATTTCTTGCCGGGTAAAATCTCAGAATTCGGCCAAAAACCGGTGATTTTCTGAAAAGGCTACTTTTCGGCGAATTTTTCGGCCGGCCGATTTGGGAAAGGCCTAGAGACCACCGTGTTCGGAAACAGTGACCTTTCTATCACCATACACGGTTGGTGGAGCATCGGTCTTTACGGCCATCTGAACCGTATGGGTGTTAGACCCGGTTCTGACCCTCTCTATTCTAGGGGGAGTTGTCTTAGTTTTCTTGTTGTTGTACCGTCAGTCGTGCATTCGTGGTTCGCTCCTGGATGTCTTCTTGATACTCAGTCCTCATAAAATGTGTAGCTTCTGTTGTGAATTGTTCTTCTTCCGTCTCTTTTTATACTCGTTTTCAAACTTCTGTCCATAGCGTCCATCTCTCAGCTCGCCAGCTGGCAACAGTTACTGTCACCACCATGGCAGTGTCATGAGACCGGGGCTCGACCAACCGTGGATAGTTGTAGTAAGGTCACTGTTTCCGAACACGGTGGTCTCCGCCTTGCTACATGCTGTCAACCAACAACAATATACGATTTTTTTCTCCTCCCCTCCCCATTACTATTATTATTTAAAAATTTGTCATGTCGCTCGCATGTATAAAAGGGGGTGCTATTGCCTGTTTGTGTTGCGACTTTAAATAAAATTCAACAACAACAAGACACTACCCGCACAGGCAGTGTCCACCCAATATGTACTTACTTTCCCACCACAGCACTCTCTTGTCATCTTTGAACTTGCTGGCAACGTTGCTCACATACGGCTGGTATCTATCCACTGTTGTGCGATCCTTTGCTTGTGGGGAGGTCTTCCAACAGCCGTTGTGACGACCTTTCACCGGCTGACATGGGCTGGACAGATTTGCTCCCGACGTGGACCAGCAGTCGTCAAAGAAAACAAAACCCACGCCAATATTGTTTGAATCTGCAACCAGGAGAAACCTGGCAGTTGGGAAAGAGTGCAATATAGTGAAGAAAGATGGAAAAAGAGAAGTATGGCGGAAATAGAGGTGGAGAGGAGAGAAGAAATAATGTAGATAGAGAGTCGCTGAGAGGGGGGTCTCTGCATCCACGGTTAGTTTCAAACCTGAGGAAGATGTTGCTACTCCGTGATCGACACCAGACTGTCCAACCTAGTCCATCGGCCAAGTCTCAAAATCGAAAGTGGTGATGCACTGAGCTTCCAACTAAACGCGACCATACCCAGCACGTAGAGAATATATCAGAGAACACTATTCCGTTTGTTGGACGTGCCGAATTCAGTCCAGGGCGTCGATACGAAGCGTTCTTCGTCGCCGAGTTTTTTACTGTGCGCTCCATTTGAGAGTGCGCAGAGTTCTGATCGAGAGTTTTTTGAGCAGATTTTCAAATTTTTGAGGCTGTCAGCTGACAGCTGTCAACCCTAAATGGCACTTAGTATGTGACAGGCAATAGGTTTTGGTGCCTCCGTATGCCTTCTAATAAGTTCTATCTTCCTTCGTTTCACTTCGCTGCTTCGCCCACTACCTCAGGAGATGACAGCGTACCTGCACTAGTCAGCTCTCGCTAACCCTGTCTCTCTTTCTCCGTCTTAGCGCTCGTCATTCGTGTCCTTCTGCTGGGGCGAGCTTGATACTGTTGTGTCGTAGTTTTTAGGCAATAGTGGCTGTTGTTCGCGTGACGATCAGGATTTAGGGAGAAAGACGACGACTCGCCAAGTTCCCATGCAGCCACAGACGGCGTAGCAATTCTTACCGCCAACCCTTCGAGCAACGGAACCGGCCTGAGTTGGAAATCGTGTCTGTGTAATTGTGCCACGATACGGATGAAACACACAGGCTCACATGTGACGAGATGAAGATAATCTCAACAGGCTGACGGAAATCCAACAGGCTCACGGGAACGCTGCAGTTATGGTCGGAGACGCGGAGTTATTTAGTCACTGGTAAATGTTGCATCGAGTGCTGTGTGCTCTAACACAATTGTAAAAATCATGAAAAAGCGAAAATAATGCAATGGTGGGGCTGAGTGGTGTTCTGTGGAGGAGACGTCGCTGTCTCAGTATTCAACGCCGGACCCTGTATTTCAAGTCTGTGGTCATGCTCGATCATAAGATCCTGTATGGCTCCAGTGCCTTCTCAGCATTGTTGGCGGGTAAGCACCTGGATCGTGTCCAAGTACTGCGGCTCTGTTGGCTTGAGGGACGTACGGGTGCTCGCCGTGCACCCCTGCCGGCAATCTGCTAGTGAAGCTTGGTACCTACTGAGTCCGGGAGATTTTCATCCAGAAGCTGATCTTCCTAGGCTGGAGCTGCTGCTACTCCTGTGCTAGCCCTCAACCACTGGCGCTCCTACTCAGCTCCAGTGTGGGCCATTAACCACCCTGCCCGATTTCGCACTGTTGCTATTCCACACCGTCAGTATTTAACTCTGAGGTCAGACCTTGATCCCTCCCACCATATGCTATCTGTCTGTCTGCCTCTCTCTCACACACAGATGTGCGCGCATACACACATGCACACACAGTGGCACAAACATACACATAGCCAAATTCTCTGTGTTTGGTGATCATCATCTGTTTTCTGGTGTGCAAGCTCACCTCTGATGCCGATTACTTCCTTGCTTAGACCCGGTCTGCTATTAGACCAGTCTGCTCTCCCTTCACTCGCTTGTAAATCCTACTTGGAGCAGTAAGGTTGTGTCACTGCTCCTACTGATGTCATTGTTGTGAAAGCAATATCATCGCCATTGGTGGTAATTTTCCACCGTGCATGAATCATTAACAATCATCATCTATGTGTCACGGCCTAACCATCCTCGTAACTCCCCTCGTCGTGACTAGTGCTGTACCGTTGAAACCTACTTTGCTTCAGTGTATATTCGCTCCAAAGCTCTTGTTTTGTTGCATAGTGATCTGACGCAGTGTGCTATAGCCTGTCGGGTAATATGGATAAGATTAGTACAGTCGGCATCGCCTATCGAGTGACCAGGTACATGTATAAGGATACTAGTACATGTATACCGGCTTAACGATATCGGAACACAAATAGCACTATGTGTGCAATATTCCTTTCTAAGCTCACGCTGTGCGGTGCAGATAGGTCATTTGTCGTTGCCAACTTGCCGCATGTGCATGTGCAGCAGGAAGGCACCACATGTCGACTACTACTTATACTGTACAGCATTGTGTGCTTACATGCATCTACGGCCTTGTGGATGCAATTGAGTCTCACATACATGTACATGAAATATTGCGTGTAGTGCGGCATCAGGTGTTAACATAGAGTGGCAAATATTTTTCTCGCAATAATGACCGTATTCACCACAAGTGTGTTTATGTCCAGAGCCAACTCAAGTCCAGTATTATTTATGACCATGACAACAAGACTTCCAGGCTGAAATTCTTCTAGGACAGGCATGAACACTTGCCTTACAATTGTTCGTGATTGTACGAAGTACATATTCGCTGTTGCATCAATTTTGCACCATTTACATTGTAGTGCCACAAGTGGTATCACGGACACCTGCATGCGTATTGAGTCAAACAAGGTTACCTCTGTATAATTATGCTTATCGTGGCTATCAAGAGCTTCGATGCGAATTCCCAGCTGACGAATGGTGTCCAGCTTGTGTTCAGCTCAGCTGGCACTCACAACTCATAATAATTGCGTTATAGACGCCAGATGAGATATAAGATGTTTCAGCTACAATGTAGACACAACGTCCGTGTTCAAGAAAGCCGTCACTTCATCTTCTGTCCATCCTCAATAGCACGTTCAAGCAAATACGTCTGAAACACAGTAGCGACAATCCGACAGCGGCGACACGCCGTCTTCTCCGAATGAGCTTCTACCGTTCTAATTCAGATTCCCCAAAAAATGTCAAAATAAATAATAGATTTCCACCAAGCTCGCTAGAATCTTGCGAACCGTCAACATGCAGGCATTTCAAGTGTTCGAGCGTGCGTAGATTCTGCTCAGCGGCTCAAGAACATTCGCCAAGCGAAAAAAAGTCGATGAGAAAGATGTAATGGTGGACGAAATTACAAAAATCGGAAGAAGGTATTCGACCCAGTTCGACTATCCTGGACTGGATTGGCAACGTCCAACAATCGGATTCGTATTCTATGGGGTCTCATGAGCTAGTGTGCCAAAGGGCGTTTATTTGGAGCTTCAGTGCATCACCTTCGTCGAAAGAGGCCCTTTCTGAGATTTGGCCGATGGACTAACCGTCCTGCTTTGAGCAGGACAGTCCTGCTTTGGACCAAAACATTCGTATACATTTACATGGGACACGATTGCCTTTGTATACATTGTATATGGGTGTCCTGCTTTGGAATGGTGGCAAGGTTGGACAGACTGCGACACTCACCTGCTGATGGCCTCGATCAGAGTTGTGCCGTTATCACCTTCATACACCATACTGTGCAGAAACATACGCAGTGCAGTGAAACCAAACTGCTGACGTGCCCAGCTCAGCTCTCTCTTCACCTCGTCTTCGTGATGAGAATAGTTCCACCACCACAATGAGTTGCTAGCCGATGAAGGAGTGTACGAGGCACCAATCCATTCGCTCGTATCATGTTTAGGTATCGCTTCTGCTCCGCTTCCAGAGACGCTAATCGTAGAGATGACTAAAGCGCAGAATGAAAATTGCACGCCTACCCGAACGGCGGTTGGGAGACTCATCACGATGTATCCCGTAGGCAGAGGATGGAAATGTGGAAGCCAGATGGCCAAATCAAGCTTTCGCGAGGGATTACGAATACATCTTCCGGGGTGAATTTTGGACTCCTGATCCAAAATTCTTCTTGCTTTCCCCTCAGCTCACCTTCGACCCACTTCAAAAATCCAAGCCAAGGTTTGTTTCTGCAGTCAGATCACAGTGCAGTGACTGGTCTCTACTCGGAACTGTGCATGTGGGCAAGGTGAGCGGGCTAGGCACAATACAAAGAACGACCATTCATTCTAGAAATGTTTTTTTTTATTCCCTGGCCTATGCCTATCGGCTATGCATTATTATGATATGCATAGCCGATAGGCATACCATGGTATGGCTGTGTGCTGCGCATTTTGTGGGTTGGCGTTTCGGTCTTCCAGATCGCGAAACTTCCTAGCTTTTAATACGTTACGTCGTCCGAAGGCTGAACCGGGCCAGCACTATTTTTTAGTCATAACAAGAGCATACCGGTATCATAGTACACTGTATACATACACGTCATGTACAGTAGATCTACCGGCAGAAAAATTGGCAGAATTCGGTACTTTTTCTGATAAGTTTCATGCATGTTTGGTATGTGGATAAAAAATGGAGCAGAATTCGAGGAATTGCCCGCCATAAGGTTTGTATGGTTCTGCCAATTTCACTGCTTTTCGAGCAGAATTTGCCACCTTTTCGAGCAGAATCCGCCGGTCCCTACTATTTTGGTGATGATGTAGGGTTTTCTGTGTTCTCAGCAATCACCATTATAAATAAGTTTGAAAAAGCATTGCGGAAGCGCCATGCATACCATCTCAGTTCCGTATTCTCCACCGAAGAGCAGAACGGGAGAATTGCAATTCTGGAATTAAATTGTACTTTTTTAAAACTACATGTACATGTACAGTGCTGGCATTTGGCAACTGAAATCCGACACCTGAGCGGTGCGCTCACATCGCAAAGACCCAACACGGGATAGTGAAACTACTATGTAGAGACCTTTAGAATGTGAACGCGTCGCTAGGGGGTCGGATTTCAGTTGCCAGCACTGTACATGTACATGTACATGTACATCCGGTGTTATGGTGATTGGTGATGTCTGGATCCTTTGCCACTTTGTTACTCCGTATCTATGACCATGATGACTGTTTGGGATACTGAATATTCATTTCCAGTATTTTGACCTCGGATATACATGTAGATTGTGATGTATCTCAGCTACATGTATAAAGTGATACTGAAGCTTCACTGCAGCAGGGACATGGTCACGTGGGGATCTGAAAGTTACAATGTAGGAAGTAAACTGCATCATTTTACTTGAACGGACTGGAGGCACGCATTTCCGAGTGTTCAAAGTTGCTCCCAAGCACGAACAATGACAATCATGTCCTCCGAGGTTTTCGTTATTTCCGCAGGAAAAGGACTCGGAAATTTCCACAAGTTCAGCATTGCACAAGTTTCCCGAAGCAGAAAGCTCAAGACTGCAAGAACCACAAATGCACTGAATGAGTCATAGCTCCTCTTTCACTACGGTAGAGTCGCACGCTGAAGAACGTTGAGCCCAAGAACGTCCAGCCTGAAATGCTAAGAATGCCACAGCCTCAAGAAGACCGGCGGTGTTGATTTTCCGGCAGGTTATGGGATAGATATGATCCAGCACAAATTGTGTCTAGGAACGTGCTATGAGAACGCAGCCAGACTGCCCAACAAAATAGGAACGCCCCAAGCTAACCTCTTGGAAACAACGTTCTTGGACGCGCGACCCTACTGTATGCATTATCGCATCAGAAGATACTGTTGATAGCGAAACGCACCAACAGTGCAGTACTATGTCCCCCCCCCCCCCATCAGGCATCACTACCGAAGCACAGTGTGACAGTGAAACAAGGCCAAGTAGGGTCCGGCGGATTCTGCCGGCAGAAAACTTGGCGGAATTCGGTACTTTTTCTGGTAAGTTTCATGCATGTTTGGTATGTGGATAAAAAAAATGGAGCAGAATTCGAGGAATTGCCCGCCATAAGGTTTGTATGGTTCTGCCAATTTCACTGCTTTTCGAGCAGAATCTGCCCCCTTTTCGAGCAGAATCCGCCGGTCCCTAAGGCCAAGCCAGACAAGTAGTAGTGAATGGAGAATTCAGCAATAGGGAAAGTCTGTCCCACACGTCGTTCAAGAAACTAGGTGCGGAGCACAGCTGACACATGTATGAATGAAGCATGTAAAAGTAGAGTGGAAGAGAAAGCATAGAATGATCAACCAACAACAAAATAATACCACACGACGTCAGAACTCAAAACAATCCAAAATCAGACAGAATCAGATACTCAGCGTCACCCTTACTGGACATTCACCTGGTATGAACAGTGAGAAGTTCCAGGCAGGCCGGATCACAGTAGTGCATGTAACATCAGCTGTACAATTGCCCGACGACATGCCTCGTGTCACTTTGCCTTCCAACAGAATCACACAAATCCTAGCAGTAGTACACTGATGAAAACTGGTGCGAAAATATCCTCCCCGGAGAGATATACAAGTAGGTACATGGAGGAATGATTTTCCTTTAGGCAGCCGGGAGGGCTCAACACACTACCATGGAGAACTATTACCCACAAAGGGCACAAAAAGAGATTTACAGAGTTTTGGGGATTCGGCCCATATAAAGCAAGTAAGCAAGTAGGTACATGTACATGAACATGAACATGAACATGAACATGAACATGAACATGAACATGTACATGAACATGAACATGGACATGAACATGAACATGTACATGAACATGAACATGAACATGGACATGAACATGAACATGTACATGAACATGGACATGAACATGAACATGGACATGAACATGAACATGAACATGAACATGGACAAACAAGAGGTGGAGGGATGGGGGGGGGGGGGGTACTACCCTATACGTGTACCTGTTAGTGTACTGAAGAGCCGCACTCTTTGATGTATTACATAACAGATCAAATCACTGGGAAAATACACACATCTAAGAAGTCAAGACACTACTACCTGACAATATTAAACCCAAGGCAATCTGAAGTGTGGACCAAGCGTCCTCTACACCAAAGTGATTGCATCACCACCGTCACAGAGTGACACAATCCAGTACAGGTTTCCTGTGACGTTCCGGATGGTTTCCGTAACGCCCGTTCTCTCGTGTCCAAGCGTCCTCTACTAGTACACCAGAGTGATTCCATCACCGTTGTTGTGGAGTGACACAATCCAGTACAGGTTACCTGTGACGTTCGGGATGGTTTCTGTGGCGCCCGTTCTCTCGTGTCTACCAGTAAGAGTGTGACGATCGTGATCAACTGTTAGAAGAATGATGTCACCAGTTTGCCACGGTTGACCAAGGGCTGTGCCGGTGTGGTATTTACCAGCACTATGGCCGAACCAACCAAAACACTGTGCCTTGTCCTGTTGGTATAGTTCAAGCTGTGGATTACTGGACGAACAGGCAGAGACGAAGATGTAACCTTTGGAGATCTTGTCAATCCTCACCTTCAGTGTACTGCTACCAGTATCAGTGACCATAGGTGTGGTACATGCTGATCTATAACCATCACTGGTCATTTTCAGTGTGCGACCATCATTGGTGATATCCAACTGACTGCCACAGCGATTTCCATCAAACCTCGGGGTTGCCGACACCACCAGCTTCTGTGGACTACCCTTCAGATGGACACAACCAATCTTGGCTAAGATGTTGTAGTGGCCAGTTTGCAATGGAGTATGTCGGGCCTGTATTTGTCCGGTAGCAGGGGTAAGTTGTGTGCACATGGTGGTTGTGTCCTCATCGAGATCGGATATTGATATCTCCAGTCCAATGTTTTCCAGTTGCTCTTGCTCCACGATACTTGGGACAGCACTGTCTGGTAGCACTATAGAGATCTTCAAATGATCGTTAAGAAGGGCATTGTCAGGACTCTTCAGTGTGCCATCAGCAACATCCAGCACTGCTCCTGTTTTGCTGATGTCCTTGAGTAGGGATGTGGTGTCCGTCGTGCCAAACACAATACCACTGGTGACACATGGCTCTTTCTCGTCCTCCGCAGTTTTCATGGTTTTCACGATAGACGCATCCACCCAGGACCACACACGGAGAAGCTCAACATCGTCCTCAAACGACTGCAGAATGCTGGCAGCACTCTCTCCTTTCGACACACACTCCTGAAGTTGGTGTAGTTGCTTCTCCAGAGGTTCCAGTTTCTGCAACCTCAGCTGATCCAGCTCGGATAGAAGAGAGGCCTCTCGCTTCTTCACAGCCTCCATCAGTGGCTTGAAGAAGTTGGATACCTTCTCTGAAGCATACTCGGTTTGACTGTGTACCATTCGAATGTTCTTCTCCACGGTCTCTATGGCACTGCTGACAACACCATCACATTCTGATGTACAACTGCTCAGCTTAGTGGAAAGTGTGTCACGAGTGTTTTGTGCAGCACTGGCAATATCCATCACCTTGTGTTCATCATGTCTGTGTGCTCCAGAGTGCATGCAATGTGCACACAATAGCTGATTGCACTCCAAGCAAAACTGTTTCAGCACTTCATTCGTGTGTAGAGCGCATCTGTGCTGGACCACTCTGCCACTGCTGCTGCCACTGCTTGTTGACCCTGTGGAGGATGCAGATAGCGCCTTCACTGTGTGACCTTTGCCAGATCTGGACATGGGATGGCCAGTACCGTGGTGCTCACAGAATTTGAGGCTACAGTTCTCACAACCCACTGTAGCTGGCTTTCCATTCCAGCATTCGTCACAGGTTTGAAAGACCTGATCTCGGCCTGCAGCCGCTCCAGTCATCGTATCGCTTGCTTGAACGACATTCGGTAGCGATCGTAACGGCTCTGTACCAACAGGCAATTGCGTAGCGGACAAACACCGCGGACACTTTATGCTTCCATCGAATCCCAAGCTGTTCTGCAGGCACGGCACACATAGTGCGTGCAAACACGAAACAAACTTTAGAGTGGTCGTGGACGACCCACAACCACCGCACTGCACTACGGACGACATTATTTTGCACTCCTGAAGCCAGTGAAGCTACTGAAGGAGCTCAATCTTCGGACAATCTGAATACTGTATAACTACAAATTTTCGTTCACGAAATCTTTCGTTATCACTCCACCAGCGCAGCAGGCTTGTTACGTATGTGTACAGTCAAAATCCGTTGATCCCCGAGCTGCAGAGAGTGCTCAATGTCAGAGACAGAGCTTAGTACATAGCAGACTCA